GGGGGGGGAGAAAGCAAGCCGGCTTCATTAACGCACAGCGCACTCGCTCGGGCAGCGCCACCCGTCACGTGTAATCACAACAATAGCAGTGCGAGTTATACGGCCATCAAGCTGTCGGACCTGACCTGCGGCCGGGCCAAGGCGCAACAGTAGTCCATAAGTCGGCAGGGCGCGCCTGGGTGGTAGGCACCCGGCGTCCGGAGGCTCGCTTTCCACGGCTTCCAGGACAACGCCTTTGTCCTGCTTGTTTGTGATTTTGTGGTTTTGGCCTTGCTTGAAACCTATAGTAATTGATGTGTGGTGCTTTTATAATACTTAAAAAAGATGTTCAATAATTATGATACCGCTCCGCTCTATAAAGGCTTGTGCTGCAAATACATGGTGCAGCGCGAAATACAGCATGAAAAAATTTGAGCAGCAAACAAGTAAGTGTGACACACTTTTGCGAGTGGCCGTTGGTCTGCAAGATAATCGAATGGCCCATTGCCCAGTAGCGGACGCATCTTTTTCTCGCGGGTTACTCAGAACCAGAACGGTCTGGTGGTGTAAAACTGCAATACGATACGGTGTGGCTGGCAGGTTGTTTATTTTGTGTGTGTCTGTGTGTGTGTGTATGTGTGTGTGTTCAGCGGATCGCAACGACTGCCCGTCAGAGTCAGAAGGAGACAAAGCATGGGTGGACGCACTGCGCGACGTCACACACACACACACACACACACACACACATCATTTTCTGCCAAGAGCCGCGTTGTGCGTGGGCGTTCAGAAGGGCTTTAATGACTTGAATAAAACTGCGCGTAATGAGATGGTAATACTGCACGCAGCAGCCCTCCCGCGCCCTCCTGAGGCCGTGTTTAACGCCGTCTTTGCTGCTCACTTTCACCGCAGTTGTATGACAAATCAATGGGCCGAACGGGAGGGCCGGATAGGCGCCGTGGAGGCCCTGCAGCGCGCCGCGCCGGCCAGCCGGCGGAGGTATTCCACCATCGGGACTAACGGGCGTCTTCGGCTGCAATACCCCGTAAAAAAACAACCAAGGACGCTGACATAAAGTCAGCAGGGCACACCGTCGTCGTCTCCGATGTACGGCGTCATTAGAGTGAGCGCCGTGTCGCTGCAACTCAATCCATCGGTAAGCCACAGCTCAATTAAAATTTCGCGTCCCCAGTTTGGGCGCGCATTCCCGCCCGCGTTATGGCATGGCGCTGCCCGCTGCCCGACGGTCACCGCCGCTCTGATGAACGCCTTACATTATGGCCGTTTCGTTTCTCGTCGAGAACAAGCGGTACCAATACTTTATGATGCAGGGGTTCAAAAATGACGTGGAAAAACGATGCGGGACAGATGATGCCCCTATTAGCGAGAGTCGATTGAGTTGTAAGAATTTCTTTTGCTGTTGCCGTTGCCGTCGTTGATGAGGCAGTTGTGGGTGACGTATGACGGCCGGCCCACCTTTTGCCTACTTTCTGTTGGAAGAATGTAGTGCATTCTGCCTATCAAGCGCTCATTTTTCGAGGGGCGAGGGAAAAAATTTCTATTTCAAAAATCCCGCAAATGTTCTCATGAGGCATAGAAGGAGGCATTTTCCTATGTAAGATGACATTCCATTAACACGTTGAGTTCCGAGTGTCTACACGTATGGTCAAGCATGTGATTCACCCCCCCCCCCCCCAGGGGGACTCAACGCGTTAACATGTACATCCGAGTTGAGCTTCCTTTCATCATTTTAAGAATGCATTCGTTTATTTAAAATTACGAAGAGTTTGCATTTTGACAGCACATTTTTCGTCAAATCACAATATAATTTACAACAGTGTATAAGGTAAGGTGCAGTGGTGTATCTACGTGGATGATCTGAAGACTAGTTTACTTTTCACCCATGGTAATTAGTTTGGGATATATCGCAAGGGACTAACACCCCCCTCACACAAAAGTCCGTATTCACCAGTGACTTGTAAGTTAGGCAACGCACTGACATCAACACCAAAAATATTTTATCACGGCAATGGAGAATAGTACTTGTTCTCCTTAAGGACTGTACAGGAAGTACTTTCGTTTCGCTCAGATTCATTCGCTAAATTACGGGAGATGAGCGCCTGCGGGACTCAGGGTAGGCCATCCCGTAGTACATGCATGCACTGCAGGCAAGTTGTTGCCTACCTATCAGGCGCTATTTGAGTTTGAATTTCAGTGGTATGGCACAGTTAGACTATTTAGGCAACCCCGTGCCTGCAGTGCAAGCGTGTACTGCGGGGTGGCCTACCGGTAGCTCCCAGACCTGCACTTATGACTAACACTAACTTATGGTACCGGGTGTAACTGTGAATACGCGGCAGCAGTGTTGCGGGTTTGCCTAATCTTTGCACCTGTAAGGGGCCTTGGCCCCTAAGCCCATTGGGTATGCAAGACCGCAACACTGCTGCGTATTCACAGTTACACCCGGTACATTAACATATGCAAACATTTGGTGTACTAACGTACTAGCTGGTACACTTTACTCTGGAGAGATTGATTGCGTCCTTGGTTTTAGCACCTGAAATGTGTTACGCAAAATACGGATAAACCGTGAAGGCTTCCCTTGAGCCACAGTATAACACATGCGCTAAGCGCCCACACCGTAAAACGGGCAGTAAAGGCACCCTGCGCACAGAGGCATGGAAGAGGGGGGGGGGGGGCACAAGTATCTCTTTGGTGGTCCGGTCAATATGTCAACTTTTCTACCGTGTAAAGAAGCTGGTTTTATTCTCGAATCGGCTGGCTGGGGCGTGAAGGCACCTCACCTCACCTCGGGGCACCTCGAGGGCCTACAAGGCTCTAAGCCGAGAGGGCTGCCTCCGCGGTCGGCCGGCCGGTGTAAGCGGGTCGGGAGGGTGCAGGTTGCTCCCGCTCCTGCGCACGCAGCCCCGCGGGAGGTGCGAAGTGCAAGAGCATCGGGCCCGAGCGGGAGCCCCGTGCCTTTGATATCCGCGATAGACTTTTTACGAGACTGGCGTTGCGGAGGGACCGCAGGGACCGCGACCGCCCCGCCGCCGCGGCGCCGCCGCTGCAGCCGAGTGCCTCTGTCAAGTCTGCCGT